AAGACACTGGATGACAAAAGGCTCAACTCCGGTGCTCTTCACTGACCCCTCCCTTTCTCTTTTCTCTTTAATATCCATTTTAAATGTCCAAAATTGCGTTTTTGCATCGTTAAAGCAGCTAAGCTGAGAAGCTAAGCTATGAGCTAAGCTAACAAGCAAACCTCGGGGAAAACAACCTCCTTCTTGTCAAAGGTAAAAAAAAATTCACGGTTGAAACCTGTGCCTTCGTGTAAAAAGTTGTTTTTCTCTGCAAAAAGAAGCTGAGAACTTGTTTACTGATTTTTTTAAGATTAAAAGCTTTGTGTGACAAATGCTACGCTAAAGAGCTCAAATCACACTGAGCATCTGCCATTTTGAGAACCGAAGAAAGACAGCCCAGGTCACGTCAAGGGGCCTCCCTTCCTTTTTCTTAAAGAGACGTTGCTCGCTCCCTCACTAGCCATCCTTCGGTTCAAACAGTCTTGTACTGCCATCCGATGGTCAAAAAAAGGTACTACATGCAAACAAATTAAACATTTCTTCTTAAATTTAACAGTAATTACTAATTACTGTCAAATTTCAAACAATATTATCGTTTATCGCAATAATTTCTGAGACAATCGCCCAGGAAAATTTGTTATCATGACAGGCCTAGTCCAGTAATTATTCAAACAGACAGTGTTGGCTCTATCAGTTATGTTTTATCCAACGATGATGTTCAATGTGAAGTGTTCAGAGTATGTGTTAAGGATGACTTTCAGCTACTACCACACCAACATTTAGGTCAACACCTGTAAAACTGGCTGAGTTACTGTATAGTCATTTATGTGTTTGCTAAAATTGCTTAACTGTGATAGACATCTTGAATTAGGTTGACTCTAAAAGCTAATCAGTTGCAGTTGTACACCCAGTGATTACAATCTGAGAGTTTTCGTAAAATCTGTTGAGTGTTTCATGCGATATTTTGCTAAAAGTACAGACAAATGAAAACACACACACACCCACATCTACAGGAGAACTTAATTGCCTTTTTGCCGTCAGATAATTAAGTTACATATTTGTCCTGGAAGTTGCTGCTTAGTGCTGCAACTATTCACCCATACTCTCCTGCTCGGTGCCTCAGATCAGCTGATCAGCTGCTCCTGGAGGTGCCGAGGTCTAAGCGGAGGCTCAGAGGGGACAGAGCTTTTTCTGTTGCTGCTCCAAGACTGTGGAACGATCTCCCTCTTCCCATCAGACAAGCCCCTTCACTGTCCAGTTTTAAAACTCTTTTAAAAACACATTTTTACTCCCTGGCTTTTAGCACACACTGAATTTACTCTGCACTGTTTTTATTACTTTTATTGATCTTAATGTTTTAACAACTGTTTAAATGTTCTTGATTTTATATGTACAGCACTTTGTGGCAGCTGTGGTTGTTTTAAAGGGCTTTATAAATAAAGTATTATTATTATTATTATTATCAGTCAGGTGACCATTGAGGTAAAAAAAAAAAAGAAAAGAAAGTAAACATGTAAAAAAAAAAAAAAGTTTTGATTGGTTGCTGAGCCAGATGTGGCAGGCCCATCCCTCGAGTCATCTTCCTCGCTGACACTTCTTTCATTCAGTCTTTGTCTCACGCTCATGACAAGACAGTGATCAGGAACTCTGAAACACCCGAAAGACTCTGAGGAATAGGCTTTCTAAAACCTTCTGGAGACGTAAACATGATTTTTATGTAAGTACTCATTTAAAAACAGTTGGATATAAAATGATTATGATCTGTGAAATAATTTCTTAGTGGAAAAAGAAGTTAGGTTTGATGTCACGAACGGCTTGTTTTTGACAGTTCTGATAATAATACGGCCAGTGAAGTAGAAGTGATGGAAGGTTTTCTTGGTCAGTGCACTTGCCACTCTGTCTGACCTGCTTTCAGTCTGTGGGTGTGTTTGCACGAGAGTCTGTCTACATTTATAGCCCTGGGCTCATTTATCCTGGAAGAGCCATTTGATTTCCCGAACAAGGTCAGAGTTCAGCTGATGACAAGAGCAACTTTAAGCTGTTAGGTGTGTCTGTGGCAGGGCTGAGGTTTCCACTATCTGCAGAGAGATAACTCTTCTTGATAACTGTCAGCGCTGGGATTTCATTCACATTTTGGAGTTTCAGTCATGAACATTTTGTATGGTAAAACACCATAAGCTGTTTTCTACATAAAAGATGACTCCAAGTGGAAATGCTCCCCTGCTGCTAAATTCAGAGCGATCTAAATCTTATTTGATGACACGCACAGCTGTATATCCGTCTGCTGACTGAGCACATATCTTCAATCTTCTCTATTAAAAGCTACAGCGAGAAGTTTCTTGTCTCAAGTAACCAAAACACTGTTCCACAACTGCCCTCCTGACGTACAGTATAATTGGACATGCTCATGCCCTAACACGTCACAATTAAGCCTCGGGAAGACTGTTAACTTCAACACAATCCCAACATTAGCTGAAGCGGCATGGCTTTTAATTTGGTATGTCAAATTTATAGCTGCCATGACTTGTCTGAAATGATTAAGATCACTTTTCTAATACGCCCAAGATTAAGGGCAGGTGTCATTAAAGTTATACATGCAAAACAGGCGGCTAGAAATGTAGACATATATGTTTGTACAGAGAGAAGGAGCATTAATACATTTACATATTTAATTAGTACTTATTGTTTTCAGTGAGAAGCAATCCTCATTAAAAATCTGAGAGCAAAAGGTAGCGTTTTATTGAGCTGATAGCATGAACAGGATGTGCTGTCTATCTAGTGGGTCCAGTTTGTCACTAAGCCACGCCACATCTGGTTGGACCAGTTAGTTGACTGTAAGAATTAAAAAGTAACAAACTTACTGTTGGTGTTTTGAAATTCCTTTTCTCTCTAGAGTACTACAAAATCTAATGTGACCTTCTGATACTAATGATAATTTCCTGATGATTAACTGAAGTAAATATATAGCGCATTTCTATCTTATCAAGATACTCAAAGCGCTTTACAACACGAACTGTGCCCTCATTTACCCATTCATACATGACTACTATTTCTGTACGAAAATTAATCAGTGCTTTATCTCCTTCATACACCGGTGGGACACACATCAGAGGCAATGAGGGGTTCATTGTCTTGCCCAGGGACACATCGGCATGTGACTGCTGGTGGAATCGAACCCCCAACTCTCGCATTGGAGGACGATTGCTCTAACCACTCAGCTACAGCTGCCCATCATTATCATTAGCCTTTATCATTTTTATATTTTGTTCACTTTATTGAAAAAATAAGGTGAAAATGTTCTTTATTGCATCATTGTCACTAAAGTTAAATGCCATAATGTGTAAGCACTCAAGCTGCAATTTCAGTCTATAAAATATACTTATACTTAAGTATACTTCACTTATACTTAAACTTCTTATAAGAATTCTTTGCTTTCTTTAAAGCAAATACAGAAAAATCCATTCTTACCAAAAATGTAATTTTTGAAAATTACAGTAGTCCCTCGTTACTTTGCAGATTGACATTCGCAGACTCACTCTCTTGCAGTTTTTCAAAATAAGATTGGACATGACACACAGTTGGCTGATTGATGGATGAGCCACACGATAGACATGGATTTCTTATTTAAAATTATTTAAAATTGTTTAGCACCTGCCACACCGGTGTGCAGCCCACATGTGCAGGGAGAAGCTCCTTTCTGCATCATGTCATTTCCGCTCTGCAGCGGAGAAGTGGGCGTGGCCGAGAGTGCTGGTAGGTGGCAGAGAGAGCAGAGATCATGACATGCTGTGCTGAGGTCGGAAGCACCCGCGATAAATGAGGGACTATTGTAATAGTGTTAAAATGGGAACAATTTAAAGTTTTTGCTGTCTTTTGTTTTACTCTGTTAGTTTATAAAACTAACCACTTTCTGTCATATAGATTTGCATCTTATTTTGGATATAAGTGGTCAGATTGATTGAATAAACACGAACACGAGCAGTTACATGATCTCCTGCCGTTCATGACGAGTGATAGTGCTGTAAAGTGATCAGTGCATTGTAATGTGCCTGTTGCAAGGGCCAGTTTTCTGTCAATGAATTACGAAGGAATGCCATCTTACGGCTGCAGAGCAGAGATTCTTTGAAGGTTGTTTTAAATGGAGTCTGCTTCCCTCCTTTGCTGTATCAATGGTGTGAATGTAGCACAGAGCCTTGAAACAAGTCTGCAGACATCCAGTATTCTCTCCTTGAACTGTGTGTCTGGTTTCCTCTCCCCTTCAAACACATTCACACTAAATGTGTAGCTAGTCCCCCACCTTTTGGGTCAGACCCACATTCCATCTGTAGCCCACACATTCTGGCAGTGAACTGTGAGCTGTGGTTACCTTAATTATAAGGCTTTGGTCTTTTTTTAATTCATCGTAGGCCACCATAATGACACCAAAACCTCACAATTAGTCTTCATACATGTTGTGGGTGAATGAATCTGTTACTGATGTGTCTTTCCAGCAAAGTGCATAGTTGATTTATTTCTAGTTCTAATTCACCTCAATGACATGGAAAGAAAAGCGTTGGATCTAAATCTTTATTTGTTTTAACACTTTGTGTGAGAAAACCAGCCAGAACATGGCTCGTTTCTGTAGGCAAGCCTGTTGGTGTCATGGATGTGGATCGGTCAGTTTTTTTCCGGGTAGCCTTTTAAGTTTGCAATAAAGACTTTTTATGAACCTCTTGTACCTTTTTTAAAGCTGCAGTGTTCACAACTGCTGTACACTATGATGAAAGAAAATCCTGCACAAAACTTCATGGTAACTTGTTCCAACCTAAAGTCCTGCTTCTCAGGAAGTTTAACTCCACTGATTTAGCTTATTTTATATGTTTAGTGAAATGAGGGCTTTTATAATTTGTGTTTTTCTACCACTATACCTCCTGTGAATAACTGAACTGTAACTTGTGTGTCTGTGTTATCTTTGGTTCTCAGGGTCTGCGACTGGACTGCTTTACCACAGATCTGCATCCAGGTCCAGACAGAGCTGTAGCACACAGGGACTCACGCATGTTCTTGTAAGCTGCAACCGTACTACCAAGGAAATTCCTCAGACCTCCAGGGTCAACTCGGTGGGTTTTTATCAGCTGGTTGTACAGCTGCACAAGCTTCTGTTTCCACAACACGCATGCACAGAGTGCACAGTTTATGGACATGTTTTTTTTAGTTACTGGAAGTTGAAGTTTGCTTCTGCGCAGACGGACATCCCTAGACAATGGAAACGAAGAGGAGTTTTAGCTTTGCATTACAGAGTTGTTATTTAGCAAGCAAATAGTGACAAATGGTGTGAACAAATTTCCCCGTGACACATTAACTTACTGGCAAATCCAAAATATTTCATTTGTTACCATTACGGATGACATAAATGATTCAGAATGTTACATTATGAATGCTGATAAGTGGCATTTTGTTTTTTTAAAACGTATTTATTTTTTGTGTTTGCCTAGTATTTCATAAAGTTATTCTTCCATCTGACATTTGTCTCAAAGTATAATTAACTACATTGTCTTTTTTATCTTTTTCAAAGCTGCAGAAAGACAAGGGACCAAGGAGGACGCCACAAAGAAACGTGATGGCCACCGAAGGAAATCAGACTAAAGCTGAGCACATGGTGTTAGCAAATAACACTTCACCTCCATCCTATGGGAGCAGACCTAACAGAGAAGCTAAACATGCAAATAATGGTCCAGAAGCATGGCGAAGCTCTGACCACCTGTGGCTATCAAAGCAGCGGAGCAGCCCTTCCCTTCTCTTCTACAGAAAGCTTTCATGTGACAGTGTGGAGGGGACGTTTATGGCTGAAGAACACGTAGACTTTAAATACAGCGCTGAAGTTCTGAACGAAAAAGAAAAACTTTTTGCTGAGCGGTCGACCGTGAAGAATATTGGAGGAGAAACTCCAGAACTTAAAGAACGTTCCGAGGGATCTTTATGGAAACTGGAAAACGTTGGAGACTTTGTGGATTCAAAAGAGAACAAAACTGGCAGCACTCACTGCTCCTGTGGCCTGTCAAGCTCTTCCACATGCACAAACGCTTACTCTTGCCACAGTTCCATGTCCAGTCCAAGTCCCAGCTCCAGTCCCACTCAGTGTCGTCACCTCAACTCTGGTTCTTCTTGCACCAACAAGAGACACATCCGCCGCGGCAGTTTGCCTGTGTCTATGCTGGCTTTCCACAAGGTAACAAGGTGTTAGCTAAAACAAAGGACACATTTCTACACTATTAAATGACTCATCAGCTGTACGGTAACTTTATTATCCTTTTTTATGCTTTTATATTTTGTTTTGTAGATATCTCACATCTCCTCTCAGGGCAGTCCCTGGAGCGAGCCAAGCTCATTGGTGTCATCTCCCAGTGGTTCCCCTCTTCTCAGCCACCGGCACCAAAATGGACACGTATCCCGGCACTGCCTCAAAGATGGATATTCAAGTTTAGGGAGGTTCAACAAAAGGCAGCGGGTTAACAAGTGCAACTTGGAGAAACTATTCCTTCGACCCGCGTCTCTAGAAATCCTGACGACAAACATGGGATCATCCTCGGAAGGGTCCAGGCATTGCATCAGTGGTGGGAGCAGCAGCAGCAGTGATGAGGAGGGAGGAGAGATGCTGTTGGATACTTCAGAGTTCGTCAGGGACCGTAAAGAACGTTCTACTGTCCTGGTGAGACGATTCTTCAAGAACAATCAAAAGGTGGGATTGTACTTTAGTGCAAATACAGTTTATTAAACAATGTCATGAAGAAATTTGCTATTGCTATGCTATTGTTGGATGTAACTGGGACCCTGTGTGTACAATTTTGTTCCACCTCATGTACCACATGTGATGCCAATGACAATAAAACCTACTTGAACTTGTTCAATCGAAAATGTATTTAGGCATTTTTTGCCATTTTGTGATTTTATTGAAGTGATCAGAAGGTCTGAATTGCTTTCTTTCCATAAGGTGACCAAGTCGGTGTGTACTGGAACCAGAGCCATTGTCAGAACTCTGCCATCGGGTCGAATCTCTGAGGATGTCTGCACGGTCGTTGTTGAAAACAGGTTCTGGCATCCCAGCAAGGAGGATATGTGGCCAATTTTAGTGCGCGGAGAAGAATTTAGAGGCCGCAGAGAGATGCTTCGCTTCAGTGGAGTGAGTCTGCATCAGGTAAAATACTTTACTAATGCCTTCAGTAATTCAAAAGTTAGGACTAATTAGAGACAAAACCAGAACTCTGTGCTGTAAAAGTTCTTTCAAGGTCAGCACTGTAGGAAAGCTTCTCTTAAAACCCCAAACTTTGCCAATAAATGTCTTTGTAGATGGAGAACTGAACTAGTTTATCTCAAAAGGAATTCCTAAAGGTCTTCTGTGGGAATCTGAAATTCAATATGCTTTTCATATTTGTTTTAAACCAAGTCTTATCAGAGATCTTTTAACAAGTTTAACACAGTTTCAGCAGCAAGTTGTGCTCAGTCTTTTTAAATACTGGAATCTGGTTTATTCTTAGAAGAAATGTAGAAATAAAGAAGAATTACTGCAGTTTTGTGTTTGTCAGTGGACTTAAAATGCCACGAAAGGTTTGATTGATGATTTCTGCCACTTTCTGCTTTGCTCTTTGTTTTCTCCCTTTTTTTGTGGCCAAATTCCAACTCAGTCAAACCACGAGTGGTTTAAAGTGCAGAATAAACCTGCAGAAAACATTTTGGGTCAGTCCAAGGAAAAACATTTGGTTACGTTATGCCTGTGTTTGTGTTCAAATGTTTTGCCAGTAATGCATGGACGATGGATAATTTGTACGAGGGAATATGTTAATTAACCGGCACAAGGTATGTGCGCACAAACTGAGAAAGCTGTTAAACACAGCCTCTTTGTTCAGGGTAGGCCTCTGCTGTGGAAAATGATTTATTCTGTTGGTTCTGTTACCCTTACTACTGACAGACTATAACTATGACTCCTGTGTGCGCCTGTCTGTCTTCATGTGTAAATGGACTGAGCTGAGTTGGCATGTGTGTTAAATTTACAGCTATAGAAACTGAACGAAGGATGAATTAGGGAGACAGAGTGCAGCAGACGGTGATGAAAGGCGAAAGTAATGAAACAGAGAGAGACGCACTAGATTAGTGGACTATTACATGCTATTTTTCCAAACATAACAACCTATCAAAGAAGGTGGTTAATCTTTTTTGTGGCAGTCATTTACAGTTTATGCAACTCTTTCCTCGCATACAGCAGAATACAGTAAGAAATAAAAAATGCAATTAAAATTTGAAGAAGCAGAACACTAGCTTAAAACTTAAAGGAATAAAGCCCTATTTTAAAGCTAAAAGAAACAAACTGCTAGGTAAGTGCCAAAAGTAGCAAAACATTAGCTAAATATAGCAAAAGGTTAGCAAAAGGCTAGCTAACAGTAGAATTAGAGTAGCACAATGGTAGCTATAAGTTAAAAGTAGCAAAAAGCTTGCTAAGTGTAGTAAAAGGTAAGCTAAAAGCTAAATCTTTGAAGGAATTGAAGGCATCTTAATTTCTATAGGGAAATTTTTGTAAATAAAGATTAATATTCTGAAAAGTTTTAAAATTACAAAAGCTAAAAATGATAGCACTCATGTTCTGACGTTTTAAGTTATGAATGGTTAAAATGGCACAAAGGAAACAGAAGAGACTGCAGAAAAAATTTGTGGAAAACAAAAATGTGAATTCTGAATGAGAACACTTGAATCCAACAATTAGGCTACCACAGGTGTTGCATGCAAAGGAGATAGGCAGTCACATGAGCGTGCACGTGACTGAATATTTTTATATTTTACTTCATATGATGAGATTTTATACACTGGTGTACAAGTATGCACAGAATGGAAATGTGCTTGACTTTTTACTGTTTCTTGCATGGCTGCAACAGAGCCAAGCACTGTGTAGAGTCTCTCATGTGGAGGAGGGGAGTTCATACACACACGCCATAAAAACACACACACTTATGTGAATGCTGCAGTGTGGTTTCTAACTGTGCCGCACTGTTTTTATGAACCCGCTGTGGTTGTAGAAATACAGGCAGAGTGAAGTTCAGGGACTGAAGGCCTAATAATGAGCTTTTTTGAAAACGGAGGAGTTGCCAGGACTTTGCTTGTGAAAACATGATCAAAGTTCATTCAAGAAAGAGTCGCCAGAGAAACACTGACAATCGTGTGCAACAAATGAGCATCGGTTGGATTAGTTGGAGCAGAGTTTTTTGTTGAAGTCTTGAAAAAGAAAATAGGAATGTTTAAACCATAACTGCATACACACGTAATGCTACACAATCCTCTATATGGTGTTTTTCTTATGCGGCAGGAGCCACTTACAGGAGTTTTTGGAGCTATCCTTTGGCCTTGTGTGTTTATTGCTACAACTAATGAAGAGAGCCAAAGGACACACAGAGAACAACAGTGACAAAATGAGAATAAGGGATGGTGGCACCATGGAGAAAATGAGATTTTTAGAAGGGAAAACGAAAACAATCCCATTGGAGAGAATTCAGAAACGTATGGAGGAGGTTTGTTACAGACAGGAATACAAAGACGGTAAAATTTATGTTCTTTTTTTTCCCCATGCTTATTTATATTTAGAGGGTGTCCACACATCCTTAGAACATTTTTAAAAGTCTTAAATTCATTTAAAACATTAATTGGTTTTAAATACGTTACTCAACGGTGTTAGAATTTGTCGGGGCAGGAAGGATTAAAGTTCTCCATCGCCACAACGAATTTCCGATATCTGTTAAAATGAGGGGGAGATGTTGTGGTGGTCTTGTTAATGCCATTGATACATGAATTAAAGTGGTGCTGCTTTCAACCAATAAAGACAACCAGAGGCACAGTTTGACCCAATCAGAGCAGAGCAGGGCGGGCCAGGTTCTTTGATTTATAATGAGTCCAGAGCAGAGAGAGACTGCAGGTGAAAGCTCCAATCAGAATATTTTCCATGGAGGTCACCTCGTTACCCTAACGGATGTAATGAATTATCAAATGTATACATATTACAAGTTTGTGTTGGCAGGTGACCATTTCACTGCAGCTGGGGGCGATGCCAGAACTGATACACCATCACCCCACTCCCTCCTCACGCACTGCGCCCCCGACCTCCCCGGGACTTTTGTTTCTAAAATGTAACTTTGCATTAAACGTTACTGAGTTCTGAGTGTCGTCAGCATCGTTCAGACATGTGCAACCTGCACGTGTGACCAAACTTCAGGTCCGAGAGAGAAAGAGCACGCTGCTTCAGGAGTGTACAGCCTGAATCGGTGCAAGAGGAGGCTGCGTCTTGCTGCTTTAGTTCTTATAATTAAATATTAACGCTAAAAGAGAAATATTTAAATGCACCAGATTATAGCAGAGATGTCTCTGTTTAATTTAAAATTTCCCCTCAAACTCGAGAAGTTCTCTCTGACTGTAGTTTATCATACAGTAAATATCTGCTAAATTCATTTCTACATGGTGTTTTAATACCAACAAGGTGTTGTGGCTGTTTTGATGAGCTAGATTTGATTATATTTACAACCACACTGAGAGCTAACCACTCTGATCAATGTAACTCAATAAATGATCAAATATGAAAATTAATAGTATTAAATGAGCATCCATCCATCCATCCATTATCTTTACCCACTTCTTCCTTTTTTGGTCACAGGGGTCACTGGTGCCCATATCCAGCAGTCACTGTGCAAAAAGCGGAGGACATCCTGGACAGGTCTCCAGTCCATCACAGGGACACATAGAGACAAATGAGACAAACGACCATTCACTCTCTCACTCACACCTAGGGACAATTTAGAGTTACCAATCAGTCTAACCTGCATGTTTTTGGTCTGTGGGAGGAAACCGGAGTACCCGGAGAAAACCCACGCATGCACCGAGAGAACAGGCAAACTTCACCCATAAAGGCCCCCGGCTGGGATTTGAACCAGTGACCTGCTCGCTGAGAGGCAACAGCTTTACCAACTTGGGCGGGACTGTGGAACAGTGGTCGAACAGCTGCCTCTCAGCGAGAATGTTGCTAGATTGAATCTTGGTCGGGGGGGGGGGGGGGATTCTGGGTGGAGCTTGCTGGCTAGCTATTCTGCAACTAAATAATAATAATAATAATGTCATCACAATGTCAGCACTGTATGCTTCCATACAATGGCGAAATTAGTCTCTGCATTTAACCCATCCGCCACCAGGTGGTGCAGTGGGCAGCTATTGAAAGCGCCTGGGAGGCATTTTGGGGATGAGGCGTGCTGCCCAGAGGCGCCACGTGATGTGCAGTGACTGGGGATCGAACCTGGGACTTACGGGTCCCAAGCCGGCTGCCCTGCCTCTACACCATCTCGGCCCCCTAATGTGTTAGTGCAAATGTATTAACAGTTGGCTGGATGACATCTTTGTGTTTGAAGGCTAAACTGGAGATTAAAACACATTTGAGCCTCATGCCATGAATGTATTCTGTAGATTTTTTTTCTTATTGGATGTTTCCAACCAAATAACTGGACTTATACACGCAGCTATTGAACCAGAAAGCACTGAATATCACTTAATGTTCAATAAACAGACAAAAACTAAACTTGAATGTGTTTCATTGACACATGCTGTGCTTGGCTGAAATGCAGCAGGATCCTCCAAACATCGCCTGTATTTATAGCTTTGTTGGTCTTAAATTTCATTCTAGGTAGCATTAAAAAGTCACTGTAGAAAGGCTCTTAAAAAGTCTTGCTGAAACCTGCAGATATCCTGATGTAAGCGACTTGAAATCACCTTTGCTGTAGATTATTTTGTCTTAATTTCAAAATAAAGCATCTCAAATCTATCTGGATATAATCTCTACCAACATAAATGTGTAAAATTGTTACGTAATTATTTTTTGGCTCATGAGTTTCAAAGTGGATCCTAAAGGTAGTTGAGTTGAGATGTTTTTGGAACTTTACAAACTCTCCAAAAAGCTTTTATTCATTGTCCTAAGATTGCAGGATGTTTCTCAGGGGATGTGACAGATTTAACAGTAAATGAGCAAAATAAGTTGCCTGTTGTGTACATACAGTAGAAAAGTGTTTCTTTAGACTGCACTGGTTTAACACTGAAATACATTCCTCAGTTCTGCTACAGGATCAAATGTTCTCCTACACTGAAGGATTTCATTGTTTAGCCTTGTGAACTCCACCA